GTCAATAAAAAAAAGATAATGTATTTCTTGATCAGTTTTAAATTTTAATTTTGTAACTTTGAATCATTTGTGTGCCAGCTTGAAAATATCAGATGTGAAAGTAAAGAGTGAATATTTGTATTAATTTTTAATCTTAGATTTATTTTGTGATAATTCAGTATTATATTCATTTAATAAAATTTATTAAATGTTCAATACTGTGCATTTAATATATAGTACTGGATCAAATGTTTAGCAAGCTTGGGAGTGGAAGTGGTTCAAATGTCTGGTATTCTGGACAGACTAAATATATAGTTAAAATATAAAATAAAGAATGGAAAGTAAAGAAAGAAATTGTATTTAACATACTGTAGGCCAGCAGTCACACTAGATATGGCATTATGCAACATGTATGCCACAAACAAAAACAAAATGGCAGTGTGACAAACTACACCTATATTACAGCCTACCAAATTCAAAAATAGCAGTTGCATGTCAGCAGATTCTGCATAAAATGACATTTTATGTAAATTTGTGCTCCACCAAAACAGTCTCAGATGATTGCTTAGATGCTTATGCAACTATTTACAATTAACAGAAAAACTTGTAGATTTAATATTAGTGTGTAAAAAATAAAATTAAAACAAACTTTTGACAACTGCACGACTCTATTGCACCTTTTTTCGTGCTTTCTTTGGGTACCTGTGTTAGAATCTTCTGTTTTCATTTCATCTTGATAATTTTTTCTCAAAGGTAAGCTATAGTAAATGACTTCTAATTTTTATATCATTACTTTTAATTCACAATGAATTTCATAATAAAAATAGGGCACATTTACTCCTGTGCATCCAGGGGTTAACCTACCATGTATATTATCATTCACAAAAACACAAATCCACACATATCAGTCCTGTATAAAAGAAGATTTTATTAATGTTGAAATTGACTTGTCAGCGTGGTATTGATCAATCAGGTGAGGTCAAGACATAACTTAAGAAGAAGTTATATCTTTTCAAACTTTTTTGTTTGAAAAGATGAACACTCATAGAATAATTTTATTCTAAAACTAAAAGAAAAGCAATTTCCATTTCTTTATTATATCTCGTATTACAATATTTATACTTCTTAATGTTAACTTTGTTTAATCAGTTTTATTAGTGAATAGATTAGTTTTCTACTAATAAAAAGATCATGTTATTTTATTTATGACAAAATGTATTTTTAGTTATTTTTTATTTATTTCTTAGCCTAAAAATAGCTTGATAGTTTGGCAGATCATTTGGATTCAACAAACTAAGTGCTGTGCTCCTAAACTATTTTTCTACTGTAGTTAGATAATGATCAATAATAATGCTATCTTTTTAAATAGGAATGCTTTCCTTTCTAGACTAGGCCTATTTATCTATAAATTAAAAAACTTTTTTTTTTTTGCAAATACAAATATGACAATGGTAATTTAAATCTATATATCTATATATATATAATAAATATAATATATAAAAATGGACGTGCATGTCCCTATATTTCACTTTTCCGCCAAAACTACACATTGCACGTGAGTGGTGTTTGTATGTGGTAGTAGCCCCAAGTCTCCATTCGTGCACTATGGTGGTTGTATCTCGATAGCTATAAGGGTG